GTGACCACGTGAAGAGAGACATGCAAACTCCAAATATACAGGCATCATTGGGATTGAACCCACGTCTCCTGTATATCAAGCAAGGTAGTTAACATCTCGCCACCAATGGGTAGACGTTGTACTCCACCGACAAGTTCTCATGATGCCCTATAAAATAAGCCAAATTGTTGTTCATGGGGAAACAGAAAAGTAGGGCATGCAGGAGACCTGACTGTCCACGATGACGCATGTCCTTGGACAGCTCACAGCGGGGAGGTTTTTTTTTGTCAGAAAATTTGTATCCAGACTACGAAATTGCGTTATTATACGAACCGTCCCCTTCTCAGTCTCAACGCCATCCCTCAAATTGGATTTCAAGCCAATCGAACGATGTGCGGCACGGACTATGGGGGGGGGGGGGTGGCGTTGGGGGAGAGGGGGGAGCGAGATTGGGTTTCCAATCGGCAAAAACCTTGAAATCTGACGCGAGCGCTGCAGCTTCTGAGCCGCCCTCTGCCGCGGTGGCAACCTTTGGCTTGGAGGAGACTCATGTTAATGTTGCTGGCTGTGTTCCGCTGATGCTCCGACAGATTTTTCATCTCAATTCAAATGAAGCATGAAAAGTAGCCAACTGGGAATTGGGTCAAAGGAAGTCTTATTACACCCCCTATTTAACCTCTGGGCTCTCCGTACGCCTGCAGATTGAAATTGAATGTTTTTGTAGTGTTTTTACGATGATGTACATGTGTTGAATAAGAAGGTAATAATGTTATTATTTTTTGCACATGTTACAGGGTGAAGCGGTGCCGCAGTGGTTAGCATGCTGCAATATGAACACGGTGACCCGAGTTCGATTCCCACCCATGGTAAACATGAATGGTGAGAGATATTTGAACTGGCCATGGGTCTCCTCCTATCGCCAACGCACACTCACCAGCGTGGGGAAGCATGGCCAAAAAACTCGCATGACCAATAAGGTATGGGGACGCCTTCATCTATGAGCGGATCAACAAAGGTATGTAGAGAAATATTTATTATTTATTTACCCATAGGCAGCATACTGCTTGCACATATAAACAGTTATGAGTGAGTGGCGTGAATTCCCACGTGTCCCATTAATTAATTATTCAATGATTAACAATGTTTTTTTTTACATTGAGCCCCCTAAAAGAGAACAACATTTTACATATTTAACCTCTGCCTATTCCCATTTTTCCTCTATAGGTTTCAAAAGGTGCTGGATGTTTCATAACAACATCTTCAGATCCTATTTGTGCTGTTAAGCTAATAGAAATCCCACTACTAATTACCAGAACTGTACATAGAAAGGACAAAGACCTCCTGTTTACCCTATGTATACTTGTTGGGATAAGTTATATGCGAGAGCACCTATTAAGGCCATCACAACACACAGTGGTGAGGCCAGCACTGGGCTCATCACCAGTCTCCTGTTTGTTGAGGTTGATGAACAACAGCAAGTACTCCTGTAATGCCGGGTTGACTTATGAAAGGCCCAGAATCGATTGCTATGAATTTGTTTAGCCCTTAGCCTGTCCAAAGAATATTAATATACCGATATATTTTTTTTAACAACTAATTTATTTGTTTGCGTTTTAGAAAATCAAACGATAATAAGTAAATGGAAGAAAATCACTATAACGCATTTTACAAATGACTCTGCTGTCACACTAAACATTTTAAAATCTAAAGCAACGGCTGGAGAGGCTGCAAAACTCCGTGCCGTCACAGTTTCATCGGCGTAATATAAATGAGCTCTGGGCAAACACTGAAAGAAAAAGGAGTGAACCGACAGCCACGTTGACCGCGGCCGCTCAGTCAAAGCTGCTAAATTTAATTACCAACGTGCGGCACGGCGCGTGAAAAAAATGAGGTTTCTTTTTGGAGACCGTTTCTTTTCCCCGCTCGCAAATTCCCAGAGAAAGGGGAGAAGCTGCCAATGTGCACGCATATTTGCACGGATATTTGCACGGATAAAATTGTGACGTTCCGGTCAGGCTCGTGTCTGTGTCTGCAGGAAGGCCTGGCCGCCTTAATTACAAAGGCAGGCCCAGGCCGTGGCGCCTGTCAAGCCACGTTATCGACCCCCCATCACCCCCTCCGTATACGAGCACTAAGACTTACTGAAAACACTGAAAAATATCACTAATATGTACGAACATACAGTTGAAATATCTCATAATAGGACTAATGGGGGGGGGGGGGGGGGGGGGGGGAGTCGTGGTGGTGCAGTGGTTAACGCACGGTGAGGTATATCTGAACCGGTCCTAGGCACCCCTCTTTACCAATCGGCATGCACTGGACTCGTGCGGTGAAGTCAAACAACCATCATGAGCGACACACCATGGGGAAGGCCTCCATCCAGCAATGGATTGACGAATGGCAATACATTATTGTGCATTCTTATTGACTAAAATATGCCATGAATCATAAGGTGTAGAATAAATTACGGATGGTATTGACAATGAAAACTGCAGTTTATTTTAACTTGGCAACCTAACCCCCATGAGGCATCCAATGAAAATTGTGTTTTTGTAAACCTTTTCAAAGCATATTTAAATCCACGTCTCAGGGTCTCCATCAACATCATCTGCAAAACGGAGTTGCGAGGGGGTTTTTGCATGCATAATGTGTCCTACATTATTCGCTCGCCACACTGCTACTTCTCCTGCACACCGATAAACAAAATCATCGCGGAGCCCCAACAGCTGAAACGGACACTGAACTTCTCGCAAGAACTAAATCCCATCCGAACGTCAGAGTGTAAACTAACAGCGGCACACTCTTATCCGGTAAAATAAAAACAAATTCACCGAGTAGGTCTAAATGTACGTGACGTCATTAACTCCTCTCAAACTCGACACGCTACGGGGTTCATTTTAATTCGTAAACTAAGTAAATAATATTCTTGGTTCTTTTCGGTAAAGTCACGTAGAAGGGAAACAATAAAATGATAAAAATATAAAACAATAAAACGCCACTTTTTTCTAATTTTCTTGCTGTGGATTTCACACCTAATGATGATTGCTTGTGTTGCAGTCGAAACGTCGTGAGGATTTTATTGTTTTATATTTTTATTATTTTATTGTTTCCTTTCTACGCGACTTTACCGAAAGAACCAAGAATATGAATCCCTGCAGTCACGAAAGCTATAAATCAAAAAGTAAATAATGTTGGCTTGATACACCCTTGACGCAAACACTCGACAGTAACTATACATTCTCAAATGGAATCTGTAGAAATGAATGCTTAAATCACGAGCTGAATATACCAATGCAATAATTTCACCTACCATTAAACGAAGAAAATAACACTTGAGTTACAAGGCACTCGTTTCAGGAGGGTCCTGCCTTGGGACGTTTAGAATCACGAGTGATTCACCCACCGTGCAAATATAAGAGGTTGACACTCAGCGCTGACTTATTCTGGGCTCCTCGTAGCCCCATGCCTACAACACCTGGCAAGCCCCCGATAGTGAGCCATGCTAAAACTCACCAGGCTCAACCCTTGGCTTCAGGCTCAACATTTAACCGACGAGACCGGGTGCATTCAGGGTGATCCGACCACAAGTTGTTCCATCACATCGCCGCGTGCACAGACGCACAATCTCATCATCATTATTATCACCGTCATTACACGCAAGCAGGAAACGTCCCAGGCCAACAAGCATCTGTTACTTAAATCATGACCGTGTCATTCTCATTCCCCCTAACCGCACGCTGCGACAAGCTGCGCACTTGCTATTAAAGCCGCGTGATCACAGTGATGTAAGTAAAATTGCCACCTGCTCGGGGACGGGATTCGTAGTTAGCGATAGATATTTTTCGTGACTCAGGGCGTCATGCGATATATAAACAATGTGCCCGATTGCCATTGATTTTTATTCAAACCGTGCGCCTTTTTCTGCCAAGCAAATGCATCTGTCAGCGGGAAGTAATGAAAAGTGACTCCTCATTCTCCTACCTTGCGGTTTGCACACAAATTCCCTACGCAGAGCGCAAAGAGCTTTCATCGGCCATAATATACCCCGCGCACATGATTATAAAGTGGCCTCGGGAAGACATTTGTCAACATCTTGTAATATATTTAGACAAATAGTGCTTACTATCAAATATCCAGTTGTAGTTCTTGTTTACATTGATGTGCTTTTTGCAATGAGTAATAATCAAACGAACAGATAGTAACAATATTGAAATGAGATAAACATAGACAGTGCTAAACATTAATTATACAAACCCTATTCTTGGTTCTTTCGGTAAAGTCGCGTAGATAGAAAATAAAATTTAAATAACGGATAATTAAATAAAATACAAAATAAAATAAAAATAAACTTGAAAATAATAAAAGCAAAAAACCCACGACGTTTCAATCGCAACACAAGTGATCTTCATGTTATTTTTATTTTTATATAAACCCTGTTTGAGTAAGTCTGTTTGACTAGCACACATCTAGATAATCATGAAGCCCACTGGAAAAAACATATGAAGCAGGGCCTTTGTTTATAGGCCTTTCCTGCTTTACCTCCCTGTAATTTATCGAATTATACCGACTCAAGCATAGATCCTTCGTTTAACACTTTGGTGAATGTAGCAACCTCTTGTGGCTGCAGTGGTCACGTGGACCCATTACATACAACATATATAAATCGAATATAATCGTTGCTTATATGAACGACTCTATTTATAGTGAGCGTAGGAATCGATTTCCCCAATTAAATGATGCCTTTTCATGTGCCTGTCCTCTTGCAAAGTGACACAATGACACCTTCCTGCTGCTACAGATAATGAGGATAATGACAGGGGTGCTCTGTGTGTCAAAGAAATCAATTCCGGCGATGTAAGTTGAAAATGCACACATATTTAGTATCCACAAGAAGGTGGTGATGACAGTGGTGACGCTAGTGATGAGAGGGGCTGAGTATTGGTGGTGGTGGTGGTGGTGCTGGTAGTGGAAAGTGAAGTGCTGATAGTGGTGATGGTGGAGGCGGGCGAGCGTTGATTTACCATCACTGTCCGTGGAGTTGAATCCGCAGACGTCGCAGATGCAGCGCACCCACTTATTCATGTCGTGCTCACTGTCGGCCACCAGGTAGAAAGTGCGATCGATGGTGCGCAGATCGAAGATGTAGCTCTTCTCAAACTCCTTGCGATCGAACGTGAGGCCCGAGTCCACCTGAGAACACACGCGGGTGAACCCATCAGCAAAATCGCATGCACAGAAGCCAACGGGCGGGCGGGCGGGCGGCTGTAGCGGGGACTGGACTGAACCGTCCACTCCAAGCAAACTGGCTGAAATTGAGGGATGCAACCAATCGTCGGGTTATCCATTCTCTCGTGCGCTTGTGCGAAGTGGAGTAGGTGATGTTGGGGTGGTCCCACTGCTTCACGATTCCAGCGATCCACATTGGATTCCGCCACCCACGCATGCGGCTTACCAGCATTAATAGCCACTTGTGAACAGCGCCAGCCACACAAATCTATATGGCTAATTGAGAGGTCCTCATTCTGTTATGTGCACGTGCATTCGCGTATACGTGGGTCACATTCATATGCGTGTGTGCAAGCACATCGTTGGGTGTGTGTGTGTGTATATGTGTGCATGCATGAATGTGTGGGGAGCGGTAGTGCAGCGGGATCGCACACTGCACTTCGAACCTGGTAACCCGAGTTCAATTCCCGCTCATGGCCAACATTGGTGACGAATATCTGAACCGGTCCTGGGTCTCCCTGAGGTCGACTCAGCCTTAAATGAGTACCTGGTGTCGTGTTATAAATATCAGCACTGGGGAGATAAAAACGTCCAAGGGCGGTGTTGGACTTCATAGGTATTCGCTAACAGCACTTTCCCAAACAGTCTGTAAAGACTATACGGGGGACCTTTGTCTTTAGAATGTATTCATCGAATTAAAAATACCGTAATCCACTCCGAAACGCATCATCCAATGCATGCACTCCAAGCGTACAAGTCAATGTCAATCGATCCATTGCAAGTTGCCCAGTACGTTTTGCCACTCTCTGAGTGCAAGGCTCCTTATCCCTCGTATGTATTATCTTGAACTTCTTTCGCACCGTACGTAGCCAACCATGTTAATCTGAGGTGTGGAGGAAGGACAACTAACTAAACACAAAAAATCAGTTCTAAGGAAATTAGTTTTCAATCTATATTTAAAAGTGTCTAGCCCCAGCGGCTTCCTAATGTTGGAGGCAAGAGCGTTCCAGACGGCCGCACGATGCCCCGCGATGCGCCGGCGCTGGGTACCTGCTCGCACAGGTTGAGGTTGATGATGCGGATGGGCTTGCGGGCGCTCTCGCTCTTGTAGTACTCGAGCACGTCCGCGTCCCCGCTCAGGCGGCCGCTGCGCAGGACGAACCAGCGCTTCTTCCACGCCTGCCCGCGTCGCACGGACGGACAAAAAAAAGGGGCAAGCGGCCTTAAAACGTGATAGGGCGATGGGGGGGGGGGGGGTGCATCGCAGAGCCATCGACCGCGCCGCGTTAAGCCAGGAGTGGGGGAGAGCAGCAATCATCGTCGACCGAGAAGGATTACAGAGACGGAGGAGGGAGGCTCTGTACGGTGACCATTACCCTGTGAAATCACCGGAATGTGTGGTCTTCACTCGGCCTTATGTGCATTGTTTACTAAATGATTGTTAAAACGTAAGATTTCTTTATTTATGTCTGTGCACTTAAAATGAGATGGAATTAAATTATTTACTGCCGACACCACGTTGACAGTGGTGCACAAGCACTAATAGCACACAAAAAATGTACACATCCATCAATAATAACAATGTGGCCTTAAAACGAAAAAGTATACAATAGCCCTTCTTCATAGCACATAGAGAGGTCAGAGAGGTACAGTGGATGTAACCCCAGGTTGCCCTTTGCAGAATGGGCAATGCGGTGTCATGTGTCTCTATGGAAAAGGAAACAGACTGAGCGTAGCTTCACCGGTGAGGGTATATCAGAAAGCGTCAACAAATTTTTCTTTTAACGAGATAGAATGGGATAAAAATAAACAACGAGAAACCCAGAAAAATCAACGTTCGCTCCGTTAGGACTTGAAGGTCAATATTTTCCATTACAACTGTTAAACAAAGCATAAAACGGATGTCAATAAAGCAATGCAAGCCCAATGGCCAATGAGGTCGGTAAACACGTTTTATTTTTAATGCTATATTTACATTGCCGGAGCAGGGCTGGCATCCAACATTATTGCCACTAAACCCTGGTGTGCTTCGGCAAGCAATGTCCAAACTCCTCTGACACAATACATTACTCAGTCTACATAACATTTCTGAAACGTTTTGGTGAGGTGTGGCAGACGGGGTGGCCGGTGGGTAATTATATTTGTGGGGCTTGGAACCCCACAGAGGTGGGGCAAGTGGGGGGGGGGGGCAGTGAAAGAGGAGGGATGGAGTGTGTCATCATCAGCCAGGGTCAATGCACCGATGGATGAAGGCCTCCCAAAGCCACCGCAACCTCTTCTTGGTTCTTTCGGTAAAGTCACGTAGAAGGGAAGTAATAAAATAATAAAAATAAAACATAATAAAATAATTCTCACGACGTTTCGGCCAGGTGAAGAGGACGGCTGCGTGCGTTGTGGCCGAAACGTGGTGAGAATTATTTTATTATGTTTTATTTTTATTAATTTATTACTTCCCTTCTACGTGACTTTACCGAAAGAACCAAGAAGATGAATCCCTGCAGTCACGAAAGCTTTAAATCGAAGTTTTCCACCGCAACCTCTCACAATATGACGATGTAATAATCCACCGAGCACCTGCATGGGAACTTATTTGGGGATGGGCATGGTGTATGCAGTTTAGAATCTTTACGATGAGCCGGTAATTCCGAAGGTTTTTTTTTTCCTTATTAATTTTTTTTTCACGAGTGGTGCCGGGCCCCCCCACTGGGCCCTAAATGACGAGCTACCGGTCACTCGTGGCAGGAATATTGAGCGGCGGCCACTGAAATGTGAGAATGCGTAGGGTGTCCCTTCAAAACAACAAGCTAGAAGCACTTAGGAATGCATCTAGCTCCACTGTCAGCTCACGTGTAAACATTAATTCACTGGCACCACATCACCGATATGATTTGTCCATCAATTTTGCATGCCACTAAATGAATAATAAGCACTGATACCACGTGTTAAAGATTTCTGTGCATTCGTACGCGCTTCTTTCCTCGGCATAAATCGTATTATCGTGTTTCATGTATCCATGAAATATTTAAAAGGGCCTTGAAGGTCAGAATCCCTTCGTGAGAAAGCCCTGTGGGATCTACACCTGGCGAAAAAAGGAATCTTGTAACCGCTATTCGACATGAGTGCGAGCATGCTCCTCAGCTCAAGTTTGAAAAATACATCTTATTTTTTTTCTTGGATGCCACATGCCACAAGATGAAGAATATTCCATTCAAAACTTAGCAATGCACCACTGTGTCTAAAAAAATTGCCCTGGAAGATGACAGCTTAGAACGAACTCGTAAAGTCACTTCAGTAGACTTTGTTATCCACACGAGGGTTGCAGCACAGCATCTCAGGTCTTGGAGATGACCAGATAACCAAATTGTAGACAACACGCTCATTATTTCATTGCAACAAAGACAATTAATTCCATTTTTTTTATATATATAAATAAACTATGGGGAAGAGTGCTGTTAGTGGGCAACTATTAATGCTGGCATGGTGCGTGAAGAAGTGGTGTGGCCAGCATTATGCCAGGCTGCCTTTGTTTCCCCTGATATTTGTACACTGCACAAAATACTCTTTGAAGACTGCGTTGGCCTAAGGCGGGGGCAGTACAGGCCCATATATTCCTCTGCACTGATATTAGCTGTGGCCAGGAAGAAAACTTGGGTTGCTGGGTTCATAACACAGCGCGTAATCCACTGCATCACCCATCCCATATTAAAATCAAGTGTGCGCACGCACACACACATGGCACACCCAGTGTAATCCTGCACATGCAGCGTGACAGTTCAATAAAATTGGGAATCAACACAGATCCAGTTTCTGTTCGAGATATGCGGTGGGGATCACAGTTGTTTTTGTCCGACATAAACCTCCCTAACACGACGCATTATTAACAAACACCAGCACACGTGGCCCACACGATCGCGGGAAGGCGGAAGATGAAAAATGAAACCACCGCAAGGCTTTCCCTTCGCTCCGCATAGCCAACTCAAGCGTGGAAAACGAATCACTGCACCCTAATTTGAACCGTGAAGACCCGCTCCGATAATGTGACCCAGATAATGGCACTGGAAGAAAGCTGAGCCAATAACGCGGGCCCCATCTTCCAGCCAACGCATTAATACCATCGGCATTCCATTAGGCTAATGGGCTCCTATTGATTCCACGCAGCACGCGAGGATTCGTGCAGACGTAAACAAGGTCCCAAACAAACGTCGCTTCACACCCATGAAGTGCAACATGTTCTCAAGGCGTACGTCATCACCGTGTAAAAAAAAAGAATCTCACAATATTAAAATTGTGCTATTGGTTCAATTTCGTCGTGGAATGTAGAAAATGTCCACTCGGAGCTCTGCAGCGAGGAGTGCACCACCCTGTGTCAGAATAGCTGCACAAATAGACATCATGGAACTACTTTTTCGAGATTAATTCAATCCATCCACACTAGGGGCACACCTTTTACATGCCTCGCAAAAGAGGGTCACAATTGCATGTCAATCAAACCAAAATGTTTTAAGTGCAAGCGCTGTCATTTTTGCCAAATTAAGTTAAAACCAAATGTTTTGGATTATGTATTTGTGCATTAATCGGTGACCGAGCTGACATCATCAACTCACGACACATGAGAACTCAGATCGGAGCCCTGGATCTCAGCAGTGCCAGCTCAGCTTTCTCACCCAAGAGCCATATGGCCAACTCATATGCAAATGCCTTAACAGATGCACGTTTGCAGAGGTGTAGAATCCGGTGGTTACTTCCAGTTAATGATATGTCAAGGTGCCTCTGCTGTGAAATGCGGATCACAAATGATGCACGTTCATGAACGTGGCACTAAATAAACAAAGTCATAAGATAAAAAATTAAATAAAAATACCGTAGTAAAAAAATCTATCGTGTGTTTTCATTGGGAATAAAAAAAGTTGTTGACGTGTAAAATCAAACACAAAATTGATAAGTGCTCCATTTACCAACCTAACAATTTAAGTATTATTCAACACATGGCTTGCTTTGCTAAGATCGGCATTATTTTTTATTCTTTAGAATCAGTTGCCGAGCACAGGGCCCAAAAGCCGAAAAATTCCAAGTAGCCAGCAACAAACAGCACTCCTGAAGGTGACATAGGCAAGAGTTAATACGATTCTTGAATTGAGCGAGATCATAATGGAAACGGCAATGCGAGGGGATTGCCAAGTCAAGCCGGGCAAGGGAGGAAGCGAAAATGAATGCAAAACAGTCAACATGGTGCTAATAAAATCGCAATAATAAATGACAACTTGCAATAGACTACAACATGGAAGAATCAAGGAGTGATTTTTTTGAGAACAGTAACCAACAACAAAAATATAAATGCTAATAATGACGAGTTACAAATGCCGTTTGATATAGACCCAAGTAAACACGCTGCGTGAAAAATGGTTACATCATCGCCATGTACTACCTTAACTCAAACTCACTCAAGACTGCCCTTCCAGAACATGTTCAAGACATACGCAGGACTTGTTTTATTCAATATTCAATTTCCATCCTGCCCAGATAAACGTGAGTGAAAGCAGCAGCAACGTTAATGCATTATCTCTGCCAATATCTGACGAAATACTATGGGGACAGATATGTCAGCCCTAATGGCAGAGGTCCATTTGTCTCCACGCTGGACATGTACGGACTTTGGAGAATAAACGAAAAGAGCCGATGCCAACTGTCACTCACACCCAGCTCCGATGAGTCACGCATGCCCAATGCTAAGCGGCACGCCACCCTGCCCTCTCAGTTCTAGATTTGAAGCTTTCGTGACTGCAAGGATTCATATTCTTAGGTTTTTTCGGTAAAGTCACGTAGGTAAAACATGAAAATTAATAAAAGTAAAATAAAATAAAAATCACGACGTTTCGGAGGCAACACAAGCCTCCGTCTTCAGGTGGAACCGTCACAGCCACGACAGCTGTATCAAGTAAATGAGAGATTGCAGGAGCTACCACTCCGTTTATATAATGGTTGGAGAGGGGGGAAGGGGGCAAGTGCAGCACACTTTTTATTCATATGGTAAGGTGAGGCTTAAGAGGGTGAGCCTTTGTTATGGAGAGGTACGGTTTGTGACTCAACCTGGCCTACCTAACAATAGTGTGAAAAGCTTTGGCCCTCTAGAGACATTAGACGCATCTTGGAGACACACTGGGCAGTCTCTATTTCTCCAA